TTAGGTCGCACAGACTAGTTAAGTACATTGTCCGGGTCTGGAAATGATTGATTTCCCTAAAGGATGGACAGGAGAGGGGAAGTCAGAAACTGTCTTCATTAAAGTACGTATGGGGGATTTCTAGTGGGGGGTTATAGGGTAGCACACAGGAGGACATTTTTCTCAGTTGAGGTGATGAATCATTTGACTTTCTAAACCAAAGTTAAAATTGTTCCTGTTTGATATTTAATAGAGTGAGTTAGGTCTGCTTAACCAATTAGCATACCCCCTGATCACTTCCCTGTTTCACACTGGTAAGTTGGTGGATGGGACTACCAGCTCTATGTAAACCTAGAGGGCAACCAGGGGTCCTGTCCCTCTATTACCTGTTTCTTGAGGATTGACAATGTCCGGTTTATTTCCGCTTTATTTCTTGGTGAAGTCCAGATCCTGCTCTTTAGGTAAGGCAGAATGACCTCAGGCCTTGGGATTATTCCAGGATGTGTTTGAATGAAATAGTGTGAATATGAAGGCTTTGTTGTGCCATAAAGTTGTATAGTGTCTAATGTTGTTGTTGTGTGGTTTGGCCTCAGGCCTCGTCATTGTGAGCAGAGCCTCTGAAGCATACGGGTAAAGAGACATAGGTGGCTCGGTGGGAGGCAGAGAGGGGCAGTTAAGATTGCTTTGGGGTTGCGGGTATCGGGGGGGAGCGGGCGCAAAGCATTCAGGGTTTCCATCTGGTATTTCCGGGGCGTGGCTGATGGAGCGCCTGTCGGGTTCGTGGTGATCCGGGGAAGGGGTGGAGGGACTACGTATTCATCCCGCGCTCAGGTCGGGCCTCCGGGTTGGACCTTTTCTCGGTCTAGGGGTGTGCAGCTGGGGCGGAGAGCGCGGCAGTGGACCTGGTGCCCGTTTTTGTGCGTTGGCTTGGTTTGTTTGGCCCCTCCGTGGGTTTGATCACGATTCTCGCTTACCGCTGGCGTTGTTATGCGGTCTGGTGGCTGCGTTGCTGGGGTTGGTGTGTGGCGGGTAGGAGGGGGCATGCGGGCATAGGGCGGGGGTTTTAGGGGAGGGGCCAGAGGTTGATCTGAGGGGGCCTAAATGGGGGGTTGCTGTGTTTCGCTTATGTTGCATTGTTTGACTTGGGGTTCTTTTTATTCTGTTGAACTTGGGGGGATGTTCGTTAATTGCGTTGGCGGATGGGAGGGTTGTTTGTGTGTTTGGTAGTTGTTGTGTAGATGTGGTGATGGTTGATGGTTTTTGTGGTTGGACTGTTTTGTTTAGATGTGGTAATATATCTGATGGGTGTGTGTTTGGGGGATGGTGGGGGCCGCGGGGCCGCGGGGGAGGGGCCTGGCTTGGGTGGTGGGGGGGGGGCGGGGGTCCTTCCTATATGTGTTCTTGTAGTCCTGGGGCGGGCGTTCCAGAAGGTCTGGGAGAGTGGTTCTCGCTGGGTCTGGGAGGGGGGTCTGTTGTGTGTTGTGATCAGGGGTTGTTTGAGCGGGTGTTGGGATGCGGTTGTCGCAGGGGCGATATGCCTTTAGGGTCCGGGGGCAGGTGGGAGCGCCACACTGGATCTTTTTTGACGTGATAGGTGGGTGGGATCCGGAGGAGTAACGGAGTGTTCACGCCTCAACTAGGGGGAGCTTACAGGGCGGTTGGACAGTGTTCTATGGATCCTTTAGCTAAGGGAGTAGTGGTAGGGTGGTGGGCCAGGGGAGGAAGGGGAAACATTTGGTTTGTGATGCCAAAGTAACGGGAAATACGTGAGGTTACCCGCTGTTGGTAGCAGGGTGGCAGGGGGAAGTCTTTTCTGGTAACAGAGTTGAGATAAACCACTTGTGGTTGGGGGGAAAAGTAAGAAGAAGCTTTTTTATCACTCCCTTGAGTGATGTTGGGCCAAAATTTCCCTGCTGTTGTTTATCAGGTCGTTTGTTCGCCGGGGCCATGTGTTGGATTATTATGTGTGGCGGGTGATCCTAGTCGGTCCTTAGACAGAAGTACTAGGGCAGCTGGGTGTTTGGACAAAGAGTTCAGACACTGTGTTGTTCTTTTGGAAAAAAGGGAAAAAGTTTATTTTCTTGTATGTATTTCCCGGTTGTAGCCATAAGGAGTTAACAATTGTGGCTTTGTTGTATGTCATCAGTGGGTGTGGGGGGTTTGTGGGTTTGTTGTACTGGTTGTCATGAGGGCTGCTGATACAGGTGTGTCTGACTGGGGGTTTTGCTCAGGGGTGGGGTCCCCGGGCTTGAGGTTCCATGGCAATCAGGGGGTGTTGTTGTGCTGGAATGGTGTCTGGGGGTCTCTGTGACTCTCTCTGCTTCTGACGGAGGGTGTCACCTCTGTTCCCAGCTCCACTGCCTTACCTCCAGCGGCGGTGAATTTATCCTTCATTTCAATGAGGGATAGTTTAAGTAATGATTGGGATACCAGTACTAGTAGTTGATGTAGTAAGTGAGTAGTTAGAGACTAGTACTCTGTGCTGGGAAGTTTGAGTATTGGTTTCCCTGCTTGGGGTTTGCTTGTGGGGTATTTAATGAAGCGAGGTCTGGTATGACTAGCCCTTCCGATTCGGGGAGGTGGGGTAGCGGGGGGGTAGGGGTAATTTATCAAGGGAGAGATTTCTGTGAGCATTTCTTTGATTAGGTGAAAGTCCAGCCTTGGAGCTGTTGGTGGGCCTGAACCAAAACGGTTTCAAGATTTATTAGAGGTAATATTAGAGCTCAGAGTCCTCGTTGTACCAGTAACCTGAGTTTCCACCCGTTCAGCTAACACCCCCTCTAACAGAGGGGATGGGTTTTTAGATGAGTGTTGTTTAGTTTTAAGGTTAGTCGGAGTGTTAGTGTGATTATTTTGGTGAGGGGGTGACGCTGTGAGGTTATTATCGCCTAGGGCGAGTCGTGAGGGGTGAGTAAGTGTGGGTGTTAGGGTAGGTGGTAGCGTGGTTGCTTTGGTAGGTTAGTGTGGTGGGATTTTGGTTCTTTCTTCGGTGGAGGTTTACACGGGGACGTTTGTCCGTAGTACGGTTACTTCCGAGTGTCTGTTCTTAGGTTCAGTTGGGGGGGGTTTGTATGGTAGTGTCTTCGGTTTTCGTGGGAGTGGTGATAGAGTGGGGAGGTAGTCTGTATAAGTGGGTGGGTGTGGTGGTTATCAAGTTTGGGTTGCTAGTTAGGGGTTAGCGGCCGGGTAGTTGGAGTAGTGGTAGGGAGAGTAGTAGTTCATGTGTTGGTTAGTTCTGATGGGACCCGGGGCGGGTCTAGTGGGGGCTCTAGTGGCTGTGAGGACCCGCGCGGCGTTGGAGAGAGGGGATTCTTTCGGTTTTCGGGTGTCGACGGGTGGGGTTGGGGGTAGGTGGTATCACGTGATTGAGTAATAGCGCTTTGTGGCGTAGGGAGGGGCAGGGTTTGGGTACGCTTTTAATGCTGTTGTGGGTCCTGGGCTTTTTGCGAGTTCTTCTTGGTGCTGGACTTGGCCTTTGGGGTGGCGTATTTGTGTTAGGGTTTAGCCCAGCGCGTGGGTGTATGCAGCTGTGAGGGTGACTAGGCGGACGTCGTATACCGGTATTAGGGCGAGACGAGCTGTTTCACCCGCTGTAGTGGGGCTTTTGTTCGTGAGCCTCCCGAAGTAGGAATGGGGTGGTGTTGTAGTGTTTACTGCGGTAAACCGCTTAGCTGTTGCGGGCTATCTTTGTTTCGGACGGAATGGTCAGGGGCCCCAGTCCTTGACTGTGTGAAGATGAGGCTGTGTTAGGCGGCGAGGGAGTGGGGTCTTTCACTACGGTCTGAGGGTGAGTGGTTCTTGGATGCTACGTAGTTTGGATGTTGGTTCGGGTATACGGGGCTGGAAGGCTCTTTCGTGGAGTGGCCAGGTGGGTAGTTATCTGGTAGTAGGGAGCTGCGTGTGTAGTAAAACAGTCGGGTTAGCTGTTTTCGTTGTGAGCGGCGGGTTTAGGGTTTTGGGTGGGGGTGGGTTCGAGGTAGTGGGTAGGGGGTAGTGTGCTAGTTAGTTAAGCCTGGCCATGCCAGGGGAGGTCTGTGTGGAAGGATAAGGTTGCTTATGTACCATTTTGATACAAATCAGCAAAAAGTTGTCTAGTTGCTCCCAAAAGAATCCAATTTGTACTATTTTCGTTGTCTTGTCGTTTTTTACTTCAGAGGTTAATGTATAGTTTAATGACTATGAATAGTGGGGGGCTGTGACACCGCTCACTTTCACACGTGAGTGAGAAGTGTTGTTGAAATGGATATTTGGCAGGCAAGATAAGAGATAGAGAGAGAGAGAGAGAGGAGAAAAGAGAGGCGAAGCGCGAGAAGAGCGACGTAGAGGAGACAGTGAGAGAGGAGGAGAGAAGTGTAGGAGAGAGGAGGAGAGAGAGAGCTCTTCTTAATTAGTGCTATATCATCTAGCGATAGATGGATCTGCTAGATCTAGCGCTATAGTATCTCGCTCTCTATCTAGATGCGATAGCGAGCGAGAGATAGCGAGCGAGCGCTTCCATCCACCTCGCTCTACCCTACCCCTCGCTTACATCCCAATCAAAGACAAACATATATTCTCCACCCCTCTACGCTATTCCCTCTCCCTCTACCTCTCCCTTTACCTCTCCCCTCCCTCTCGCTCTCTCTCTCCTCCATCCCACTCCCTCTCAATGTTTTGTACTCCCACCCAACACTCAGTTGGAATACATGACACACTGTTTGTATGCACTTTATTTTGTTTGATCGGGAGTGTGTGTGTGTTTAGGGAGGCGGGTTGATGTTGTTGCTAGAGCACTTGTCAGTAGAGTAATGGAGATGTGGGTGGGCCACCTCCAGGGCTCATTTACACCGTGCCATATCCAGGAAGCACTTAACACTCCCTTTAACATCTCACGTCTGACCAACCTATCATTAGATCCGCCAAAGGAAATGACGGCTCATTAGCCACTGTATTAAGCAGAGCGGTGTGCTCACAGACTAAGTGATGCGGAGAGAGAGGGAGAGAGAGAGAGAGAGAGAGAGAGAGATGTGATAGCATGGTTATTACCTCTCACACAGGTGGTGGCTACAGTGGACCAGGATTTGCATACAGTGAACGCAGACCACACCCATCAGCACCAGGCAAAGAGGCCCCACCTGGAGAAATAGAAATACAAAGAACAGTCTGAGAACACACTGACAGTAATGTCAACACCAACTGTGAACCAGATAGGAACACTCTACAGCAAACATCAGTCCATAGTAGTGCAAACGCATCAGATATAACCCTGAGAAATAGGCTACTTCTCACTTATACACAATCAGTAGTGCTATTCTATGTATGTCACCGAAAACCTCATTTCACATAGCGGTGTTGTGATATAGTCTCCCGAGTGGCGCAGTGGTCTAAGGCACTGCATCGCAGTGCTAACTGTGCCACTAGATCCTGGTTCGAATACAGGCTCTGTCGCAGCCGGCCGTGACCGGGAGACTCATGGGCGGCGCACAATTGGCCCAGGGTAGGGGAGGGAATGGCCGGCAGGGATGTAGCTCAGTTGATAGAGCAACGGCAGGGTTGTGGGTTCGATTCCCACGGGGGGGCCAGTATAAAAATAATAATATGTATTCATATATGTAAGTCGCTCTGGATAAGAGCGTCTGCTAAATGACGTAAATGTAAAAATTTGATCGTCATTTCGCCCTGTTCAGTTTTGTCCTCCACGCACAAGATCTCTCGGTCATGTGACATGATCACACCATCATCATGAGACAGCACAAAGGAGGGGAGATTAAGCAAGAGGTTACACAACAACATTTTGGGTTTTGTTCTCAACCAAGATACAATACTAGCACTGGAACATCATCTAGTCTGGGGAGCCTGCAGATTCTCTGGGGAAAGTCGAGCAAACGCAATGTAACCTTGGCAACGTCATAAATGTGACATGCAGGCTACCTCTGTTTCACTGGTATGGCAGCAGTGATCATCTGTGTCTGCTGTTTGTCTGACGTTAACCTCGTTCTCAGTCTCAATTGCAACAGAGCCGGCTAGTAGACGAGATTAGTCTGAAGTTTACAAATTGACCTGATTGTCCTTTCAAATAATGACAGTTGTCTAGCCTGATCCTGCCCTCCTTTTGTCCGTTTAGCAAATGGAGGATTCACAGGAAAGATATGAGGCAATAAACTGATCTGAGATCAGCCACTAGCCAGTGCCACAGCTGCAAAGCAGGCAGACACACAGGAAGGTTTATCCCATGGTGCTGGGGACTAGTTTGATGAACACCTCACTAACTGATTAACCAGGCCTTGGTTCAGAGAAGAAGCTGCAGCAATCTACGGATTCAAATATTAATCTGATAACACATCACATCCATGACACACACACTGTACTTTAAACCAATGTACATGATCATGTAATCACACTCACATCCATATGTAATACTCAGAGATAAGGGTTGTGTGCCCAGCCCAGTTAGCAGGGCCAAACCAGGTCAATACAAATACAAGGCTACAACTGTTGTGTAAATATCTCGTATAACGCAAAGGACCAAATATAAAACCCCAAATCCACTTAACATGAGCCAGGATCCACAGCAAGGAATCATTGTCTGTAGACAGAGGAGTCTAGCAGGTCCACTGACCACTTAAATGACTCATGAAATACATATTTATGCATAATCCATTTTCATGCCCAGCTCATTACTTTATCTTGCTTTTCTGGTAAAGCACTAGCAAATTCCAATTATTTTTACCAACCAATATCATTGATGTATAATGCAATGCAGTAGGCATGATACATCAATGCACAAATTCTCTCAGTAACTTCACAACCAAGGCCAAGTTTTCGGACTAATTTATTTGCTAATATAGTGGGTTGCCAGCCTTTTCTCTGCCTTGACTCTCAAAAGAGATTGTGTACTTTCTTCGTACTGAATAAACCAAAACAATCTTACACTGTAATGACAGCAGTACACAAGGACACTAATGTACTGTAAAGTGTGACCCAGCCCTGTTTGTGTTATGGTGTGAACGGTGTAAGGCGGCAGGTAGCCTAGTGGTTAAGAACGTTGGACCAGTAACCGAAAGGTCGCTTGTTCGAATCCCCCAGCCAACAAGGTGAAAAATCTGTAGATGTGCCCTTGGAGTAAGGCAGTTAACCCTAATTTCTCCTGTAAGTCGCGCTGGAGAGTCTGCTAAATTACTAAAATGTAGTATCCCTAGTGGGACATTAGTTACTCACTATGACCCCTGCGTTGCGTACTGCCAGGGGAAGACCCAGCAACCCAGTCCCAATGTTTCCCTTCAGCAGGTGGATGAGAGCCTGAGTAAACCTGTGGAACACAGAGAGGGTTAGGGGTCCACTCTGCATTTTTTATTTGATCAAAATCAATTCCTGAAGGGCCTCACTGTCCACTTATATGGTACAATAACTGTAACCACTAATAGTGTTTCATGGTTGAGGTGGGGTAACTTACGTGACGCCTTGGTGAGGTAGTTGAGGTATGTTAACTTACGTGATGCCCTGGTGGCTGCTGAAGTAGTTGAGGTGGGTTAACTTACGTGATGCCCTGGTGGCTGCTGAAGTAGTTGAGGTGGGTTAACTTACGTGATGCCCTGGTGGCTGCTGAAGTAGTTGAGGTGGGTTAACTTACGTGATGCCCTGGTGGCTGCTGAAGTAGTTGAGGTGGGGTAACTACGTGATGCCCTGGTGTGCTGCGGAAGTAGGTGAGGTGGGTTAAACTTAAGTGATGCCATGGGTGCTGCTGAAGTAGTTGAGGGGGTTTAACTTACGTGAGCCCTGGTGAGGTAGTTGAGGTATGTTAACCTACGTGATGCCCTGGTGGCTTGGTGAAGTAGTTGAGGTATGTTAACTTACGTGATGCCCTGGTGGCTGTTGAAGTAGTTGAGGTATGTTAACCTACGTGATGCCCTGGTGGCTGTTGAGGTAGTTGAGGTGTGTTAACTTACGTGATGCCCTGGTGGCTGTTGAAGTAGTTGAGGTGTGTTAACCTACGTGATGCCCTGGTGGCTGTTGAAGTAGTTGAGGTATGTTAACTTACGTGATGCCCTGGTGGCTGTTGAAGTAGTTGAGGTGTGTTAACCTACGTGATGCCCTGGTGGCTGTTGAAGTAGTTGAGGTGTGTTAACTTACGTGATGCCCTGGTGGCTGTTGAAGTAGTTGAGGTGTGTTAACCTACGTGATGCCCTGGTGGCTGTTGAAGTAGTTGAGGTATGTTAACCTACGTGATGCCCTGGTGGCTGTTGAAGTAGTTGAGGTATGTTAACCTACGTGATGCCCTGGTGGCTGTTGAAGTAGTTTGAGGTTGTGTTAACATACGTGATGCCCTGGTGGCTGTTGAAGTAGTTTGAGGTGTGTTAACCTAGTGATGACCTGGTGGTGTGAAGTAGTTGAGGTTGTTAACCTACGTGATGCCCTGGTGGCTGTTGAAGTAGATTGAGTGTGGTTAACTTAGTGATGCCCTGGTGGGCGTTGTGAAGTAGTTGAGGTGTGTAACCTACGTGATGGCCTGCTGTTGTGTGCTGTTGAAGTAGTGATGTGGGTTAACCGTACGTGATGCCCTGGTGGCTGTTGAAAGTAGTTGCAGGTATGTTAACCTACGTGATGCCCTGTGGCTGTTGAGTAGTTGAGGTTGTGTTAACCTACGTGATGCCTGGTGGCTGTTTGAGAGTTGAGGTGTGTTAACCTACGTGATGCCCTGGGGCTGTTGAAGTAGTTGGGTTATGTTAACCTACGTGATGCCCTGGTGGCTGTTGAAGTAGTTGAGGTGGGTTAACTTACGTGATGCCCTGGTGGCTGCTGAAGTAGTTGAGGTGGGTTAACTTACGTGATGCCCTGGTGAGGTAGTTGAGGTATGTTAACCTACGTGATGCCCTGGTGGCTGTTGAGGTAGTTGAGGTATGTTAACCTACGTGATGCCCTGGTGGCTGTTGAGGTAGTTGAGGTGTGTTAACCTACGTGATGCCCTGGTGGCTGTTGAAGTAGTTGAGGTATGTTAACCTACGTGATGCCCTGGTGAGGTAGTTGAGGTATGTTAACCTACGTGATGCCCTGGTGGCTGCTGAAGTAGTTGAGGTGGGTTAACCTACGTGATGCCCTGGTGGCTGTTGAGGTAGTTGAGGTGTGTTAACTTACGTGATGCCCTGGTGGCTGTTGCCCAGCTCCTGGTGTCTGACAGGCAGCAGCTCTGGATCCTGGTCTCCTTCAGAGTTCTCCTCCTCCTGCCCTCCTCCAGGGTTCTCGATGAGGGGGGTCATCACCTCCATGTCTGGAAGGATTAACCAGGAGGTTGGAGGTTAAGGTCAATCACTAGTTCATATAGATTTCCTTAATCTCATGCCCCCTCCAAAATCGAGCCCTAGCCATGAACCCCTAGCCCGTAAGCATCTGAAAATATAGGATAGGTAATATCAAAGTAATATCAATATTTTTAACACCTTTCATAAAGGGTTTTAGTATACAAAACATTAAGAACACCTGCTCTTTCCATGACATACAGTGCATTCGGAAAGTATTCAGACCCCTTGACTTTTCCCACATTTTGTTACGTTACAGCCTTATTATAAAATGGATTCAATTGTTTTCCCCCCTGATCAATCTACACACAATACCCCATAATGACAAAGCAAAAAATAGGGTTTTAGAAATGTTTGCAATTGTATAAAAAATAAGAAATGGAAATATTACATTTACATAAGTATTCAGACCCTTTCCTCAGTACTTTGTTGAAGCACCTTTGGCAGTGATTACTGCCTTGAGTCTTCTTGGATATGACGCTACAAGCTTCGCACACCTATATTTGGGGAGTTTCTCCCATTCTTCTCTGCAGATCCTCTCAAGCTCTGTCACGTTGGATGGGGAGCGTAGCTGCACAGCTGTTTTCAGGTCTCTCCAGAGATGTTCGATCGGGTTCAAGTCCGGGCTCTGGCTGGGCCACTCGAGGACATTCAGAGATTTGTCCCCGAAGCCAGTCCTGCATTGTCTTGGCTGTGTGCTTAGGGTTGTTGTCCTGTTGGAAGGTGAACCTTTGCCCCAGTCTGAGGTCCTGAGCGCTCTGGAGCCGGTTTTCATCAAGGATCTCTCTGTACTTTGCTCTGTTCATCTTTCCTTCGTTCCTGACTAGTCTCCTAGCCCCTGCCGCTAAAAAACATCCCCACAGCATGATGCTGCCACCACCATGCTTCACCGTAGATATGGTGCCAGGTTTCCTCCAGACGTGACGCTTGGCATTCAGGCCAAATAGTTCCATCTTGGTTTCATCAGACAAGAGAATTTTGTTTCTCATGGTCTGAGAGTCCTTTAGGTGCCTTTTGGCAAACTCCAAGTGGGCTGTCATGTTCCTTTTACTGAGGAGTGGCTTCCATCTGGCCACTCTACTGTAAAGGCCTGATTGGTGGAGTGCTGCAGAGATGGTTGTCCTTCTGGAAGGTTCACCCATCTCCACAGAGGAAATCTGGAGCTCTGTCAGAGTGACAATCGGGTTCTTGGTCACCTCCCTGACCAAGGCCCTTCTCCTCCGATTGCTCAGTTTGGCTGGGCGGCCAGCTCTAGGAAGAGTCTTGGTGGTTACAAACTTTTTCAATTTAAGAATGGAGGCCACTGTGTTCTTGGGGACCTTCAATGATGCAGAATTATTTTTGTACCCTTCCCCAGATCTGTGCCTCGACACAATCCTGTCTGAGCTCTACGGACAATTCCTTCGACCTCGAAGGAATTGTCCGTAGAGCTATAAGACAGGATTGTGTTGAGGCACACATCTGGGGAAGGGTACCAAAACTTTTCTGCAGAAGAACACAGTGGCCTCCATCCTTCTTAAAAGGAAGAATTTTGGAACCACCAAGACTCTTCCTAGAGCTGGCCGCCCGGCCAAACTGCGCAATCGGAGGAGAAGGGCCTTGGTCAGGGAGGTGACCAAGAAGCCGATGGTCAATCTGACAGAGCTTCAGAGTTCCTCTGTGGATATGGGAGAACCTTCCAGAAGGACAACCATCTCTGAAGCACTCCACCAATCAGGCCTTTATGATAGAGTGGCCAGACGGAAGCTACTCCTCAGTAAAAGGCACATGACAGCCCACTTGGAGTTTGCCAAAAGGCACCTAAAGGACTCTCCGACCATGAGAAACAAGATTCTCTGGTCTGATGAAACCAAGATGGAACTCTTTGGCCTGAATGCAAAATGTCACGTCTGGTGGAAACCTGGCACCATCCCTACGGTGAAGCACGGTGGTGGCAGCATCATGCTGTGGAGATGTTTTTCAGCGGCAGGGAGACTAGTTAGGATCGAGGGAAAGATGAACGGAGCAAAATACAGAGAGATCCTTGATGAAAACCTGCTCCAGAGCGCTCAGGACCTCAGACTGTGGTGAAGGTTCACCTTCCAATAGGACACCGACCCTAAGCACACAGCCAAGACCACGCAGGAGTGGCATCGGGACAAGTCTCTGAATGTTCTCGAGTGGCTCAGCCAGAGCCCGGACTTGAACCTGATCGAACATCTCTGTACAAACATGAAAATAGCTGTGCAGCAACGCTCCCCATCCAACCTGATAGAGCTTGAGAGGATCTGCAGAGAAGAATTGGAGAAACTCCCCAAATGCAGGTGTGCCAAGCTTGTAGTGTCATACCCAAGAAGACTCGAGGCTGTAGTCCTTCAACAAAGTACTGAGTAAAGGGTCTGAATACTAATGCAAATGTATTATTTCAGTTTCTTTATTTTTTCATAAATTTGCAAACATTTCTAAAAACCTGTTTTTAATTTGTCATTATTGTGTGTAAATTGATGAGGGGCGGGAAAACAATTTAATCCATTGTAGAATAAGGCTGTAACGTAACAAAATGTGGAAAAAGTCAAGAGGTCTGAATACTTTCCGAATGCACTGTACATGGGCACTTATGGATGTATCATATTCAATAACATACAACCCATAGCCATTACATTTACATTTTAGTCATTCAGCAGACGCTCTTATCCAGAACGACTTACAGTTAGTGCATTCATCTCAGGATAGCTAGGTGGGACAACCACATATCACAGTAAGTACATTTTTCCTCAAAGTAGGGTTTCAGATGTTTGGCCAGGGTAATATCAGGGGGCAAAGATGAGTTATTCATTCTATTGCAATCCTATTCTTTAACCTTTGAGCAGGTTCACTCAAGGCAACTCAACCTCCAGCCACACACAGGGAAAAGAGAAGAGCCTTGAGTTCCTTCTTTGCGAAGAGCCTCTTCACTCCCTCTACCCTTTTAAGAAACTACAATATCAACATTGTTACTCCGACTTTCTCTGTTGACATTGACTGTCAATGGACTGTTGACATTGAAAAACTACCAGGAAAAAGCACCAAAAAAAGAGGCTAAGAGAGGAAGGGAATAAATAGCACGGCTGCATCAGTTTCCACCACAACTTTGATATGTCGGTTGTTCCCTTTAATTCCAGCTAGTTCCAACCCCTAAATTATAGCCTCATCAGGATCGTCATAATTCCCAGAGAGGCTAGTAACTACCTAGTTGTTGCGACGGCATCCTCCACCGGGCATCTGGGCAGTGGTCGACACAGACAGTCCTGTCACTGTGCGGTGGGTAGGCTTGCAGTTGGCCTACAGACACGATAATATAACGAAACATCAACAATGTTATTGGATCGCTATTGACGCGTTGGCTTGCTCGTAGTAGACACCAGCAAGCCTCCTTGATAATAAAGACATTGTAGCTAACTAAACTAATAGCAGCTTAGGCATTTAGCCTAATATATTGTAACGTATCTAAATAGAACGTGCAATTTACTAGTTTTGCAGTGAAAGTTAAGGGCTAAAATATGCCGTCAAGAGGTAAATCAGTGCTACTGTTGGTCGGACAAACAGACAATAAATAGAAACGTAGCCAAACCAGCTGTCAAATCTGTAGCCGTGCTATCATGGATAAATTGTAACAGTGACATCAGTGCTATCAATATAACGTGGCCCTATGAATGATGTTAGTTAGCGCTAGTTACATTGTAGTCAAGTCAGTCATAAGCAGTGTGGGGTTTCTGAATGGTCCTACCAAACTGTCTAGCGGTTCAGAGTCAGGGCAAAGATAACTTGCTACTGTACTTCGGTCGAAAGCTCTGTCAAAGCCCAGACGTTCCTGTGCGCACTCGAGACGTTCTGTTGTTCTTTTTGGATGGATGTTGAAATGACGGTTACACGTCCATGGAGATTATGATTGGATACAATTTAATTAACAGGTTGAACAATTCTCCGGATTAGAAGGCGTGGAACAGCATCATTTCCTTAGCCGACGAGAAATGTGGAAAACGTCACACCCGCTACAATTGTCAACCAGGGAAGGGGGGTCTTAAAGGAAACGTGTCCACATATTGACGATTCCACTTGCAGTTCTGAAATGTTATTTCGCTTCGTGCCTGAAGTAGGCCTAATTAGAGTTTGGTTGACAGTCCTCAACTCTTCACCCCTGGCTGGCTGGGTCTCTTGCAGTCCCTGTACAAGACTGATGGTATATCAGCTGAACTAATGCCCTGGTCCCATATTGGTACGGTGCAGTACAACAGTGTTTCCCAACCCTGGTCCTCGAGTACCACCAACAGTATACATTTTTGTTGTAGCCCTGGAGAAACACACCTCATACAGCTCATTGAGGGCTTGATGATTAGTTTAATCAGGTTTGCTTTTCCAGGGTTCCAATAAAAACGTGTACTGTTGGAAGTACTCAGAGGACCAGGGTTGGGAAACACTGCAACCTGGTCTCAGACTAGAGGTAACATATTACATGTAAATCCGGGACACTCATAACTTATTTTTATTTGTTTATTTTTTATTTCACCTTTATTTAACCAGGTAAACCAGTTGAGAACAAGTTCTCATTTACAACTGCGACCTGGCCAAGATAAAGCAAAGCAGTGCGATAAAAAAATAACACACAGTTACATATGGGGTAAACAAAACAAGTCAAAAATACAACAGAAAAAATATATATATACAGTGTGTGCAAATGTAGCAAGTTATGGAGGTAAGGCAATAAATAGGCCATAATGCAAAATAATTACAATTTAGTATAAACACTGGAATGATAGATGTGCAAGAGATGATGTGCAAATAGAGATACTGGGGTGCAAATGAGCAAAATAAATAACAATATGGGGATGAGGTAGTTGGGTGGGCTAATTTCAGATGGGCTGTGTACAGGTGCAGTGATCGGTAAGGTGCTCTGACAACTGATGCTTAAAGTTAGTGAGGGAGATAAGAGTCTCCAGCTTCAGATATTTTTGCAGTTCGTTCCAGTCATTGGCAGCAGAGAACTGGAAGGAATGGTGGCCAAAGGAGGTGTTGGCTTTGGGGATGACCAGTGAGATATACCTGCTGGAGCGCATACTACGGGTAGGTGTTGCTATGGTGACCAGTGAGCTAAGATAAGGTGGGGATTTGCCTAGCAGTGATTTATAGATGACCTGAAGCCAGTGGGTTTGGCGACGAATATGTAGTGAGGACCAGCCAACAAGAGTGTACAGGTCACAGTGGTGTGTAGTATATGGGGCTTTGGTGACAAAACGGATGGCACTGTGATAGACTACATCCAATTTGTTGAATAGAGTGTTGGAGGCTATTTTGTAAATTACATCGCCGAAGTCAAGGATTGGTAGGATAGTCAGTTTAACGAGGGCATGTTTGGCAGCATGAGTGAAGGAGGCTTTGTTTGCGAAATAGGAAGCTGATTCTAGATTTAACTTTGCATTGGAGATGCTTAATGTGAGTCTGGAAGGATAGTTTACAGTCTAACCAGACACCTAGGTATTTGTAGTTGTCCACATACTCTAGGTCAGACCCGCCGAGAGTAGTGATGGGTGGGCGGGTGCCAGCAGCGTTTGATTGAAGAGCATGCATTTAGTTTTACTAGTGTTTAAGAGCAGTTGGAGGCTACGGAAGGAGTGTTGTATGGCATTGAAGCTCGTTTGGAGGTTTGTTAACACAGTGTCCAATGAAGGGCCAGATGTATACAAAATGGTGTCGTCTGCGTAGAGGGGGATCTGAGAGTCACCAGCAGCAAGAGCGACATCATTGATATACATAGAGAAAAGAGTCGGCCCGAGAATTGAACCCTGTGGCACCCCCATAGAGACTGCCATTGGTCCAGACAACAAGCCCTCTGATTTGACACATTGAACTCTATCTGAGAAGTAGTTGGTGAACCAGGCGAGGCAGTCATTTGAGAAACCAAGGCTATTTAGTCTGCCAATAAGAATGTGGTGGTTGACAGAGTCGAAAGCCTTGGCCAGGTCGATGAAGACGGCTGCACAGTACTGTCTATTATCGATCGCGGTTATAATATCGTTTAGGAACTTGAGCGTGGCTGAGGTGCACCCATGACCAGCTCGGAAACCGGATTGCATAGCAGAGAAGGGACGGTGGGATTTGAAATGGTCGGTGATCTGTTTGTTAACTTGGCTTTCAAAAACTTTTCGAAAGGCAGGGCAGGATGGATATAGGTCTGTAACAGTTTGGATCTAGAGTGTCGCCCCTTTTGAAGAGGGGGACCGCGGCAGCTTTCAAATCTCTGGGGATCTCAGACGTTACGAAAGAGAGGTTGAACAGGCTAGTAATAGGGGTTGCGACAATTTCGGCTGCTAATTTTAGAAAGAAAGGGTCCAGATTGTCTAGCCCAGACGATTTGTAGGGGTCCAGAATTTGCAGCTCTTTCAGAACATCAGCTGTCTGAATTTGTGTGAAGGAGAAGCGGGGGTGGGCATGGGCAAGTTGCAGCGGAGGGTGCAGAGCTGGTGGCCGGGGTAGTGGTAGCCAGGTGGAAAGCATGGCCAGCCGTAGCAAAATGCTTGTTGAAATTCTCGATTATTGTAGATTTATCGGTGGTGATAGTGTTTCCTAGCCTCAGTGCAGTGGGCAGCTGGGATGAGGTGCTCTTATTCTCCATGGACTCTACAGTGTCCCAAAACGTTTTGGAGTTAGTGCTACAGGATGCACATTTCTGTTTGAAAAGGCTAGCCTTTGCTTTCCTAACTGCTTGTGTATATTGGTTCCTAACTTCCCTGAAAAGTTGCATATCGCGGGGGCTATTCGATGCTAATGCAGTAAGCCTGTAATGATGTCATGTCATAGTATCGTGGGGAATAGGTTAGAGTTACTAGATAAGTGGTTAGGAGACAGAAAGTCTACATTACATTATGTCAAAGGAGATCACTGATGTTTAGGATAGCATGAGTGATGGGCAGGATAGTGACTTGGGGTAAAGAGTGATGAACATCAAAGACAGGGAGTGCCCATGGAGACTTGCCAGATGTATGCCAGGAAGAGGGTAATAAAGGGTATATAAGATAGAGTGTCTTCTTTGTTCAAGTTAATTCGTAACACCAAGGGGCAAAGCTCTGGTCATTGCTGTAACGAACCCTGTCTACAGTGTCTAAGTATATCCTTGCATCCTTGATTCTTTGATACCCGAGAAACTCATCATAACAACGCCATAGGATGTTTTTGTGCTGGTCAAGGGCAGTCAAGTCTGAGGAGAACCAGGGGCTATATCTGTTCTTAGTTCTGAATTTTTTGAATGGGGCATGTTTATTTAAGATTGAGAGGAAAGCACTTTTAAAACAACCAGGCATCCTCTACTGACGGAATGAGATCGATATCCATCCAGGATACCTGGGCCAGGTCAATTAGGAAGGCCTGCTCGCTAAAGTGTTTTAGGGAGCGTTTGACAGTGATGAGGGGTGGTCGTTTGACCACGGACCCGTTACGGACGCAGGCAATAAGGCAGTGATCGCTGAGATCCTGGTTGAAGACAGCGGAGGTGTATTTAGAGGGTAAGTTAGTCAGGATGATATCTATGAGGGTGCCCATGTTTACAGATTTAGGGTTGTACCTGGTAGGTTCCTTGATAATTTGTGTGAGATTGAGGGCATCTAGTTTGGATTGTAGGATGGCCGGGGTGTTAAGCATATCCCAATTTAGGTCACCAAGCAGTACAAACTCTGAGGATAGATGGGGGGCAATCAATTAACATATGGTGTCCAGGGCACAGCTGGGGGCTGAGGGGGGTCTGTAGCAAGCGGCAACAGTGAGACTTATTTCTGGAAAGGTGGATTTTTAGAAGTAGGACCTCAAACTGTTTGGGCACAGACCTCTACAGTAGATTGCAACTCCACCCCCTTTGGCAGTTCTATCTAGAAGGAAAATGTTGTAGTTGGGGATGGAAATTTCTGAATTTTTGGTGGCCTTCGTAAGCCAGGATTCAGACACTGCTAGAACATCAGGGTTGGCGGAGTGTGCTAACACAGTGAATAACTCAAACTTAGGAAGGAGGCTTCTGATGTTAACATGCAAAAAGCCAAGGCTTTTACGGTTACAGAAGTCAACAAATGATAGTGCCTGGGGAGTAGGAGTGATACTGGGGGCTGCAGGGGTTAACCTCTACATCACCAGAGGAACAGAGGAGGACTAGAATAAGGATACAGCTAAAGGCTTTAAGAACTGGTCTTCTAGTGCGTTGGGTACAGAGAATAAAAGGTGCAGATTTCCGGGCGTTTTAGAATAGATTCAGGGCATTATGTACAGACAAGGATATGGAAGGATATGAGTACAATGGAGGTAAACCTAAGCGTTGGGTAACAATGAAAG